TTTTTAAACCTGAGAAGGTGACAGCCGAGCTGGCGGTACACCTGATGTTAAGTGGTAACCGCCGTCCATGGACATGTGCAACGCTTAAAGTCTTTATCTCTTGATGACATTTCGGACGTACAATTTATGTTCAGATGAGAAATACGCGTCAGACAAGAGACTGCGCTAGAGTGGAAGGAACGTTTTTTAATGATAAAATCAGGAGATTCTGATTAAGCGTTAGCGTATAGTTAACTTGAAACTAGGCGGTGCGTCGTGAAACAGGCGAGCCGAGCTGATTACCACAATTACGATTCATCGCGCAGGATACCTCCAATGAGCGAGGTCTATGCCCTATAAATGGGATAATGTATAGCGCGGTTAGCGACGCCGACGTGACTCCGGGTTCCGTACGCCTTTATTATGTGCGTTGCCAGCCCTTTACGAGCCCTGAAATCGATTCGAATGATTTGTGCGCCGGCCCCAGTGGCATGCACGGCAGATTAAGTTGTTTACACCACGCGGGCGGAATACGAACGGCGTGATGATGCGACCAGCTGATTTGTATCGCCGCCATGCCTCTTGATACTCAGGATACGTCACTTTATGAGAGTCCATTGCAACAGCGTTAAAGCAATTGGATTAAAATTAATAGATAGTAATTAATTAGACTAAAGCGATTCGATATGGTGAGGTAGCGTCATTAGAAACTCATGGCTGACTTGCCTATAGCAAATGTATTAAGTTTTGGCAACAAACGATGTTTCAGTGTTAATGTGCTTAATTTTGAAATAAGTAATACTCTGGAAAACATATAAAATACCTAATATTAATAAATAAATAATCAATATTTCAGGATATATTTTAAAACGACGTTGTCAAGTATAAGAGTTCTAACTATTACTGAACTTGAATATTAACAACTATTATAACGACAAGCAGCAATAGTGGTTATATCACCGTCTGGGAACGCAGTCGAAATCCAAGTGACCACCGCTCCATGCGACCATGTGTCCCTTAGCTCGAGTAGAAACGTCATATCCGGTAAACAGTGTTGTCAGCGCCAACACAAGTCCCAAAGGTTGCAACTGATCAACATACTTTTGTAAATAATTCATATTTTAGATATTTAAACACCTAGACACTAGAGCAACGCTACGCTCATCACACAATATTCTTCCAGTAGTGGACAACTAACCCACACACCCAGGCGAAAGAGACGGGTTCACTAATCACTATGCTAATCGGTAAAATTACTGTGACATTTATTTCTTCGCAGGTTTTATTGCTTAAAGCATTTTATCTGTTCTCGGTCAAATTTTTTCTGTTGATACTATATACTATTATCCAGGATACATTATAGGGGATGTTCTGTCCCATGTCCATGAATTAATTGAAACGTCGCGAAGTTTAAAATAAACGTTCGCGTTAATAGTTTCATACCATCCACCCTGATAGTGTTTATGAGAGTCGGAGATGAAAATAATCTTTGGAAGCGAACATAAAACCTTGAGGGTTTTTCCAGGAGTCGCATTATTGTATTTTTTTTATGTGAGAACGTGGCAAGCGAGCTGGTGGTTCACCAGATGTCAAGTGATAACCGCCGCCCATGGGCATTTGCAACAACCGTTGCCATCTTTCAATAAAGTGAGCTCCGCCTACCTCAATCACCAGTTCCACTTCAGGTCGATCTTCTGTGAGATCGTGGTACTTCCCCGGATGGACCTACCCATTCGTTCAACAGCGAACACGGCCCTACCTCAGTTATATTTTCGTATATATTTTCTATATTACACAACGATAACTCAGCTGCCGCTGGAACTGTCCGCAGAAAAGAATTATGCATTAATTATTACAAATAGTTTATAAGAATTTTACACTGTTAAAGTGATAACATCTTCAAGGTATCGGGCAAACTAATACAAGTTGTTTGACCAGCATCCTGATTGTCTGTAAGTGGAAGGTTCTCTCCGAAATCAATTAATAAGCGTATCACACTTAAGTATCGCAAAAGCAGACAAACAGCGGTGCACACAAATAGCGCCGCTAACGACCATTAAGACGTTGCCGTTGAAAAGAGATTCCCTTGAATTCACTCCGCATTACGCTATCTTCGATCTGAAGCGCGCTAACGTCGGTCCCTCGCTTTAGCAAATTGGGGAGGCGCGATTTGTATGACATATATTCCAGCGGTACTTGCTGATTTGCCTTAAAGATTATTATGCTGTGTTAGGGTAACATATTAAAAGTACTGTAAACATTTTTATTACCATACTAGCGACCCTCCCCGGCTTCGCACAGGTGCAATGTGTTATACATATGAACATTCCTCTTGAATCACTCTATCTAGTAAAAAAAACCGCATCAAGATCCGTTGTGTAGTTTTAAAGATCTAAGCATACATAAGGGCAGACAGACAGCGGGACGTCTTTGTTTTATACTATGTAGTGATGCACAGCAAAGAGACGTTTACATTTCAAGTGACATTTTACCACAGTCACTTGTTGTGCCTTCCCGGAACCCCTCCACTAACACTTAAACTTTATGGTATGGTATTAAAGTTCAAATTGACTTTTAAGTATTATTACGAATCTTTTGTACGGGAATATTGAAGTGTTGTTTTTAGTCCTTTTCAGGCTTTTAATTTTTTTTTCTTTCATAAGAACCTCCTGATAATAACAAACACAACAAAGAAAAAAGAAGTGAAATCGGTCCAGCCGTTCACGCGGGATGGTGCGACCAATGGAAATAGGGATTAATTTTTATATATATATAGATATATAGATTTTACCGTAGCACTTTTGATTCACGCAATGTGATATAATGATAATTATAATCAAAAATGCTTTATATACTTTATTTGCGGCTCCAAACACAAAATTCATGACATAATCCAAATTTGCAGCCGAGGTAAAAATAAAGAAAATTTCTGAAGTAGTGGAACGCATCACACATAGACAATAGTAACAATAAAAGGATTTCAACATCTTTGTATTTGTGTATTTAATCTACAACAAGACTATTTATTCAATTATTTCATCTACATAGAAGCGTGTAATGTTTTAAATAATATACCAAGCTTTCGCATATTTTTCAAATCTTGTTTACAGTTTGAAAGGGTGTCGTGTTTAAGTTAACTGGCTAGTAAATTTGCCTTACGAATGGTTAATGCATTTAATGCTGACAATAAACAAGACAACGATTAACATAACAAAGTGCAGGGAGACCAATTAGCCGAATTAGCATAAGCACGCTAGCCGAGAACAAAGAGCGAGTGGAGCGTAGCAAGCGCGGCTACGGCCGACGCCGCTGACGTAGACCATACAAGGTTCTCCGTTTTCAATCATTTCATCTCATTCCGCAGTCTCATTCATTCACTCAGTTCATTCCATACACCTAACATATTTTAAAGTGTTGACAAGAGGGATAGAAGATTGATGATAATATTTTATTTCTTTATATTCGGAGGATGCTTCCGCGTAGGGCGTATGCGCAGTATTTCAAGACTGACTCGTTTTCAGTCCTGATGGAGAACTTTACTATATTAGAATTGCATTAATTGTGAACTATACCAAAGAAATGTCATTAACCGTTATTAGTAGAAAAAGTAAAGTAAAAGACTGTATATTGCCTGTATTACTGGGAAAAGACCTCCTTTGTACAGAGGGTAACAGGGCACAGTCCTTCACCACTGTGCACTTGATAAGTCAGCACTTAAAATGAACACTTTCATTGGTGCCGGCACCGGGGATCGACCCAGGTTGCTCGAGTATATTGAATAAAAGGCGAGCGCCCGGACGCTGAGCTATCACGGGTAAAAAAAAAGTAAAGTAACAGCCTATACATGTCCCACTGCTGGGCAAAGGCCTCCTCTATACAGAGGGTATCAGGGCATAGTCCACCACGCGGCCCCACTGCGGATTGGCGGACTTCACATATATTCGAAAATATATTTTTGTCTATCACGGGTCTTCAACCATTATTAGTCACAAAAACTTTCATATTTATTACTTTTCTGAGGTGAACTATATTTTATTCATTTAATCATCGAAAGTAACTGATATACGTATTGCCTATCTCGGCTCCAGTTTCATTCAAAGTTAGCACATTAAGAACTTGCTAAGTGCGCAAGTTCCCGAAACTTTGGAGCAGTTTAGCAAATCGATAATTAATGGGCGGCCTGAAATCGCCTGTCTTGTGTTGCGTGGCGCGTGATGAGGGTACACGTGTCAATAGTTCGGCTTACCGTTGCTTCCGTTACTACATTTATCGGATATTCCATTGTATAAGACTTTAAGCCCGTACAAGCTATCTTAATATTGTATTGTATATTACACATAGGGGATATTTTATGGGTAGATTAAATAAGTTTCAAAACAAAGTATGACGAATATTTGTAAAAAAATTCAGAAATAACCTGAAATTAATTATTAGTACCAGAAATATTTATTTTCAGTCATGTCATTCGTTCCGATATTGTCTTATTCATATGTGAGATGAGAATCGAGCAGGCGGTTTACCTATTTTTATGAATACAATCGTCTACAGACATCTAAAACAGCAGATGTAATGCAAAAATATAATAATACAATTCCAATTCAAGCCGGTTTCAGTGAGGCCGTGGTGCTTTCTTGAATGAATCTGCCTATTCGTTCAAACGGAACGTATAAAAGTCATAAATCATTACTTTAACAATTGTTATCCTTATAGTAAGTATTTATTGGAATATACATATTTAGAAACTCTACTAATGGCATCGTTCATACAGGTAGTTCTAATGGATCCTACGCCCTTAGAAACGGTATCGAAATGATCTTCAGTTGTTGGGTGTTTCGTAATGTAGCTCTTTTAAATTTAGTATTTATTCAATGCGAAGCTTTTGTAAAGTTCTAAATGACTGGTCATTTAATTAAACCGCAAACTGACACGGCCGCATACCGACAAACTGACAAAGTAACGTCAAGTATTAATACAAGTTAATGGTGGGAGGCCTATGTGCCCAAACCCGTGGGTTCTGGCTAGCCCACCGGTTCTGCGTCAGATGAAGCTTTAATAGTCTCGGGACTGAAAGCAAAAACATCAGTAAATACAAGGCCTATGTTCGGCAGTCGACTCGAACAGTCAGAAATGATGATGGAAAGTTAATGTAACGGAACTGCGCACATTCCGAGCCATTAATTCGTGTGGACCATATCATAAATTGATGCGATTGTAACAAATTTTTATCGTGACGATAGTGTAATGTATCTCGAAAATGTTTATTATTAGACACTAGCGACCCGCCCCGGCTTCGCGAGGGTTCAATTAATTATACGTATTAACCTTCCTCTTGAATCACTATATCTAGTAAAAAAACCGCATGAAGATCCGTTTCGAAGTTTAATAGATCTAAGCATACATAGGGACAGACAGACAGAAGGATGACTTTGTTAACCGACTTCGAAAGGAGGAGGTTCTCAATTCGACTGTATTTTTTTATGTTTGTTTCTTAATAACTTTTGACTGAATGAATCGGTTTTGATGATTCTTTTTTTATTTGAAAGCTGGCGCTTCTAATGTGGTCTCATATTAATTTCATTGCTATTGGATCTTGGGCTCCGGATATAGTTAAACAACTCCTGCAAATCAATTATAAAATGAATACAGAGCGAGATATTTAAAGACGGTTTTGTTTTTCGTTAGTAAAATACTGGTTATTATTTCATACTATGCAGTGATAATGCGAAGTGCGTAGTGTGAGTTTGTTCAAAGCCCATCGACCGGTGTAATCGCCGGAACAAAAGTGTTGCCTTCCAGGCGGGCCCTGTCCATAGGGGCGGGTTTGCTGTGCATTTAGCTAGTGGAGCCTGTCGCCTAACATTGGAACGGCGGGGCCATTGTTTAGTGGAAACAAAAAGGCGTACCGATAAAACCTCCGGGCTGATTAAGATCTACAGTCGGCGCACCGTGTTACGGCTTGGTTCGTTTGCGTCGCCGTGGCGGTACGCTCGGCGAGAAAACTCTTACGCGTATTTTTGTATGTTTTATATCTTTTTGAGTAAAACTTTACGCGTGATTTGGGGAGTGAGCCGGTGACGAAAGCTTTACGAAAAAACGTCACACTGACGTTACGCGAACGGTGATTTCTTGGTTATTTCGTAATTTCATTTCGTACTTGAACAATTTTATTATTAATTAATGTTTTGTTCGATACATTAAATGTTCTACGTTTAAAGTGAATAAAGTTTTAAATTCACACAGATGGAGATACAGATTACATAGAGATGAAGCTAAAGAAGTTTTACTTCAGTCGTATGGTCTAAAGTACACTCGTTTTTTATTTGTACACTTTCAATTTTATCTAATTCCGTCTCATATAACTTTAAAAGGTTTAAATTAGAAATATTTGAATATATATTAAAACAATTCTGTTAAGGTTTAAAAGTGGCTAAGTGTGTAATTAAGTTTATAGTGTGGCTTAATCCGGTTTTAAAAATATGTTTTTTCTTCAAACGTGTCTTTGGAAATTTCGATTCTGTAACATTTTATTAAAGAGGCTATTTAAATAATTTTGCAATGGATACAATATGATTAGACAACCCGACTTGTTTATTTCGTCATACGCACAATCTCCAGCGTTCTTTCGGCATCAAATTTGTTTATGGTCTTTAATAGCACTGTTTTTGTTATTGGAACGCCGAAACCATGATTTTAATTTGCATTTGGTATGGCCGTTACATAAGAAGAAATTATAAAATAATTTTAACTGACCACAGACAGACCGTTCGAGTTTTTAATTGAAAAATAATACAATGATGCAATCGATTTAATTTTGACCTAATAAAATACAAATCTGACATAACAAGTGATAAGATACAAAACAAAGCAGTTTAATTTTATAGTTAAATAAATATAAATAATGCTGAAACAATTGTATCCGCGACTGTACAAGGGGACCATGTTTAACTCAGTATTTAATTAATAATACAGAGCGCCTTCCTCTCCCTACATTTAACTGGGTATCGTTAGATACGGAACAATTTGCTTGTCCCCGTGTCTGGTGCCAGCGAATCGCTCTCGATAGCAAATGGATTTATTAATTAGGACCCTAAGGCGGACAAAAACGGGCGCGTCGACGGCTCTAACCAAATGTTTAGTTAACATTAAGGACTCGGGCTCTGATAAGAAGTACATTGAACCGATTGGAGTTTCCATTAATATCGAGCTTTCGCAGGAAGAATTTTCTGAGTTGATTTTCATTACAGTTAGTGTGTCTTGATGAGTAAAATAGTGTTCTAGACGTATTCGTATAAATAACATATATTTTTTTTTACTTCAAGTATCTCGCTGTGTATTCATTTTATAATTCATATGCAGGAGTTCCCTTAGTATCCCCAAGATCCAAAATCAATGAAATTAATATGAGACCTCATGCGAAGCACCAGCTTTCAAATAAAACAATATTCATCGAGAACGATTCACTCATTCAGAAAGTTCTGAGATAACAAACCTAAAAAAAATACAGTCGAATTTACAAGCTCCTCATTTTTTGAAGTCGGTTAAGAATAAATACAGAGTGCGATATTTGAAGTTTCATCGTTAATAAAAAAATTGACTTGTCTAACGCCGATTGACGGGAAGCAATGAAAACGAACCTCTCTGAAATGACATTTCTCCCCAGGAACAGCGGTCCGCGGGAGAACCCGACCACTAAATCAAACTGGAATTGTTGGATTCAGTTAAACACTTGCCGGCGCACGTGAGGCATTTGAACAATTGCGTCTGCGTCCTTGGGTCTGGCATCGGAGCGTAAGACTTATCACGCGGAGAGCCGACTCGTAAACATGTTGAGTAGTAATATTTCTCGCTTAAGACACCGTAGAGGCGCTCGTTTTCGGTTTACTTCCATCGCTGGTTATTATAACTGCGCCGGGATGAGATAACGGCCTATCATCGTAAAATTGAACGCGTTCGCCGCCGTATAACTCCCCTGGATAACCTGAATTCGTTCGTTCCGAGAGCGCGTTAATGCACTTGGAAGCGATTATTTTGGCTGTTTGCGTATCTTTCGTCTTACTTAGGAAGTTAGATCCCTCGTCTTATTTGGGCAACATTGCTCGTCATGACGGAACGCTTAGTGGTCTGATTATGGATTCATTTCATTGAGCTGTTTTTGAGTTTAATTGACGAATCTGTGATGATTTTGTAGCCTGGAAATCACAAAAACGTTAAGTTTGAATAACTGCTCGGTCATAAATGATTTAAAAAGGAATTGTATGGTTTTGTTTCGTGTAAATAATACTTCTTTTGCATTAGTGCCTGTGCTCGAAGACGAGTTTCCCTTTCGGTAATGTCGAATGACGTAAGGGGTTATTTGTTTTGTTTAACAAAAAAATTACGCTTTGTAACGTTGCAAGAAAAAAAACACCATTACCGTGTTAAAGTAAACGCGGCAGGTCTTAGGACCTTCGATTCGTCCACCGAAAAATCCATCAATTGTTTCCAAAGGCGATAAATATGTAACGTACAAAGCGACTGCGACCAGGTGTCTGTTCTCGCGTTGGTTGGAGCGCGGCGCTCGTAAATCAGCGCCGGATTGGAAACGTTCGTAACGCGGTGTGGTCACGGCGGCTAATTGCGCCGGTCGCGCCGATAAGTGGCGATTGGGGGAATGGCGGGTGGTGCGGCCGATAGCTGGGACTCCACGTCCCAGTTGGCGGGCACAAAGGGCGGGTGTCGCGTGGAGAGTGGCCAGTGGACTGTCTCCTGCGTGCGCGTTCCCAATGTCCCATCCGGCACGGGACTCGGGCGCGCGGACGTACTTTGTAGTTAACAAAACAATAGGCTTGATGACACAGTGGCGCAGTTGCCAAGGTAATGGCTTCGGCGTCGGGGGTCGTGGGCTCGATTCCCACACGGAACAACTATTTATGTGACCCACAGATAGTTGTTTCGCATCTGAGTGTTTGTCCGCGTGAAATTTATGTTTGTACAACGTCCTTACAACGCAGGATAATGTTATCGTAAAGTGAGGGCGATGTTTTCTTTAAAGAAAAAACAAAAGTCAGCACTTGCATGTCACCTAACTACCACTAGTTTTGTATCGATGAAAATCAACATCATCGATGAAAAAGTTAATAAAATAAATAATAATTGCTTGTATGTGTTCTAATATCGCTATAAATAGATATGCTAAAGTTTGTTTTAATAAATATTTTCACCCAACGTTCTCTAGTCCCAAACTAAGCAACGCTTGTACTGTAGGTACTAGATCGATAACTGAGAAACATACTGAAACATACTTTTCTTTGGTAAACAGATACATGTTATACATATATAAACACTCAGACACTGAAAAAACTATGTTCGTCACACAAAATTTTCCAGTAGTGGGGATCGAACCCACACCCTCTGGCGCAAGAGACAGGTTCACTACCCACTACGCCACTCGGGTCGTCTAATGATATGATATTAATGTTCACAATTTTTCGACAACAATGGAAACAAACTCGGACACTTCCCCGATGGCTATCTCGAAACAAATGAACGTAACCGAGGCGATAAAAGGTGTGATAACACTTCTCCGCGATAATTCACTCCTTTTTTGCCTTTTTGTGGTCAGCAGTGTGCGTGATTTAGCGATGGGGCCGGCCTAATGGGCGGCGGGGGTGAGCAATGGATTTTTAGTTTCACAAAAATAGAGGATGGATTTTGTACGAGTTGAATTATACCGCTTTAGCTAATACAATAAAATGCATGGGAATTTTTTTTAAATCATAAATGAAATTGTCAATTTTAATTTCAATACGACGATTTTTTACGATCGATAATTTACATCGATCGTAAAAACATGATTATTGCGGGTTATAAAATAAATAATGTACCGTCGGGACAAGGATTTGTCTTCGTAATGCCAAAATAGGTTATACGTATCATATACTCAGATTTTAAACCTTACGAATTTGGAAGTGATGGCGCAATAAAATCTACCAAACGAATACAGAAAAACCAAATTTGCCAGGCAAAGTTGCCAGGAAAATCCACCCGACCAGTAAAAAGTCGATATCACATCCATGGGAAAATGTTAAATTCTTTGTAGGTCCTATGTGTCTATTCTCTTAAGACTTGGTTTACTCCATGATAACATGGGCGGCTGTTATCAATTAACATCAGGTTAGCCGCCCAACCGTTTGCCAACAAATTCACGTAAAAATTTATCACTAAGTATCTGTTCCGTTCTATATCAAACTAGAATCTTCTTAGGAGCCAATTTCATAAACTTTCCGTTGGTAATTTAGTTATTAAAGAAAAAACCCAAATGGAATCAAAATGCGTATTTGGCTTCGTTGAAAAACTTTTCATTCGATTTGCATCACAATGATTCCGAATAGTTTTTGAGCGTCGAAAAATATATTTTTTGTTTCGCATTTCCATACAAACGGCAGTAGGAAGCTGTAAATTTGAGCCGAACGCGATACGAAAGAGAGGGGCGCACTAAATTGGCATAGGAGCGAAAGGGAGGCGAAGAGGTTTTGTGATCAGAAACAATAGTGCGGAGGGATTTACGAGCTTTCAGGGGCCCATTGTTTTAAGCTCCGGGCACAATGCTGCCTTATTTATAACATTATTTGTCCGCGGGGCTCTTTGATGCGCTTTAAGCCGTGACAGATATATTGCTGGTTCTTTTACTGCAGTTCTTTTATTCGCGGATTGTCTGCCGGTGGGTACTGGTCATGGCCATTTCGGCTTTACGCCGTTTAGTGGTTTCTTTTCAAGGGAATATACTGAATGAACAGACGGTTCACCGGATGTGCCATTGGATCAAGACTATGCTGGACAAGACAGGATCTTCGGTTTCCTACTCTTTTTACTCTTCCATTTATTTATCTAGCGCAAGGTATTTTTTATGTGAGAAGTTGTCAAGTGAGCAGGTGGTTGCTGATGTTAATTGAACACCGCCAAATGAGTTTACAACACCGGATGACTTGCTGATGATAGCCTTTAAAAGTGGGCCCAGGTTACTTACTCACCAGACTCCTTCACGCCGGTCTCCTGTGGGATCGTGGTACTTCCTCGGACGACCATGCCCATTCTCTCAGCAATAGTAGCTGTTGCGTTCCCCGGTTGGGGTTCTGTTTTAGTGTCGAAGATTGTCTTACTACTGTATAATATCTGTTGTGATATAGGAGATTGTGTCTAAACAGTAAAGGAAATCTTTTGTATAAGCATTATTGTAAATAATGGTTTCGTGGTCACTACCCAAGTCCTGAATGATTTGATTATATTATTATCGCTGTCGAAAGACGCGAATACAATGTTTGTTTGTCTCCAAAATGAATGTTTACGTGTAATAATGTAACCATTGAGTATTTTAATTCTTAACGAATCGGCATACGAGGAACGACTGTGACCTATCAACAGTTCTATAGCGAATTCGCCAGTTCGTAATAAAAACATCAAGTTTTGATTTAGCGTCGGCGGGCATGCAACTATCGGTTAGATCGGAGTTTGGTGACGTTGAGGTTATTACGACTTGAGGCGTATTCCCAAGCACCGTTGTGTTTACAAGCTCAGTGGTTTTGGGCACGTCATTTCGTTTAACGGCGCGCCGATTCGATCTTGTGCCAACGATAATATGAGCAACTAACGTCCGGTTTCAGAAACACCGATCATCGCAGAAATTAACCAATCAGCAGTCAAATGTGAATGTGTTCTCGAATGCAGTCATATGAAATGTTGTGAAATGCCATTTCATTTGCCACAAGGATGGTTAAACTCTTTGGATTGATCATACGGAACGATGATACGACATCATTCCGACAACTGATTAGTTAATTTCTACGATGATCAATGTTCCAGAAACCGGGGTTAGGTCGCGTCTCACTCTGGCTTCCATCATACGAATTAATATCTTATTTATTGCACCTAATCATAAAAATGTTTACTCTGTGTTTTCAATATTCCTAATAAAGTTTTATGTTATAATAGTTTAATAAAATATAATTTCTTTTGTTTTCACTTTATTATACCTAATACATAAGTTATTGAATAAAAAAACATTTACATGTAGTACACTAGACATAGGATTTCCCTTTGTCACCAGCCGCATCGAAAAGTCTAGGACGTAAATGCTCGAAATTTTTTTGATAAATTTTGAAATTTTATTATTACAGTTCCTTTCGTCGCCTTTTTAATTTTTTTATTTTACGGACGTCATAAGGCGGCAGGGTACTTGATACCAGCTGGCGAGTCTATTATTAGTGGAGTTCACTTGTATTAAACTACACGACGACTGATAACTGATATCCCAGGCACTGGGTTATCTTTGCCCTGGTGTGTTAAAATGTTTCTTAATTGTCTTATTTTTTTGAGTATTACTGTTAGTTAAAGTTTCACATCTGTTGGTAGAGTGGTTTGAGGAACTATCCAATAAAATATTACCACTTAAACTAACTTGTGTCTTTTTAGCACCAAAACCCGTAACAAAGTTACCCGAAGTGGCAAATTTCTTGTAATCATTCCAATCAGCCTTCACGTATTTACATGAACACGTTTTAATCAAATAAGTTATTTATACACTTTGTATAAACGAATAAACTCACATTATAAAGAAAGTTTTACGCCATTACAGACTGCTAGGAATAATATCGTTTCGTATCCTTTTCAGGTTTAATATAAAATTAAATGGTTCGCGGAAGGAAGTGCTTTATTTATACATGACACGGGAACTAAATATGGCCCAGTGTCATGCAGACATTGTTTATGTGGAATTATGTGTTCGCAAATTCACGTGACAGCCGGCGACATGCTGTAACTTTACTGCGATTTCCACACGTCGCATGACAACGCACGGTTAGCGACGAAAACTCGACGGAGGCTCAAGTGAGACGCTTACAGCGATGTGGTCTTAGTAATGTTGCGAAAGCGATGATGCAAGTCAAACTGACAAACGATTTTAATGTGGACTTTAACGTAGAATAGAGAAACGTATAACATTTTGTCGTAGAAAAACATTTGCGTCATTTTGATTTATGTGTGCTTTGACTTAACTTTCATCATCTCTATAACATAATCTATATTCTATATCTATACAGATGAATAAAATTGGAGTGTCTGTTTGTAATATTAAAATAACCGCTTTCTACTAAAAAAAAATGGATTTATACATGGTACATATACCAAATTAACATTTTTTACATTTCTTGTCTGTCTGTCCGTCTGTTTATTCCGGCTAATCTCTGAAACGACTTGACCGTTACATAAGTAAATTAAAATGGTTTTCGTATCTGAACGTGAATTTATCGATACAGCTATAAACAGGCATTGTGCTACATTTACAACTGAGATGAATTACTTAAGATATACATGTTAAATTCCCTTTTTTAAAGAGAACTATAAATATTATTTTACAATGAAATGTCGATAGAAAAATGAACCTACTTACACTTTACGGCTTTTAATAAAGAATTTGTAGGTTTGTAGGTTTCCTACAAAAGAGAACTAAAAAGACGACATACTTTATGATGTCAAATATGCAGATATTTGTTCTAGTCATAATCTCATAATCAATGCTATTTTCTTATCAAGAATAATTCCAACATTTTTTTACTTCGTGCATTGATGTAATCTTGAATTAAATTAAATAAAATTACATATTTATTTTCGCCAACAAAGTGAATTTATAAATTTCACCGCTTCCGCTCACCACTTGTGCCTTTGGCGATCTTGATTACAATTTATTACATGTTTACGCGATCTTAGTCAACAATTGGTGTAATTTCGCGTTAATTTCACTTGCAAATCAGTTGAGAAACGGCTCATTGTAAATTGTTTACTGTTGTTCGCTTATTATCATGGAACTGACTGCGTATAATAACAACGGGTTTACTATCGGCCGATGATATCACGGCCGATTGTTAATTCTAACCGCTATAAGCGATGATAATTGGACAGCGATTGATTTATATTACCCTTGTTAGATTTAATTATCATCACCGTAGGAATAACAACGGCGTTTCTAATTCATCGCTTAGTATGCTTTCAGATTTCGGTGAACTGTTAAAAACACTTAACTTTTATGTTTAAATAATACTGAACTTTTATGTGTGTGTTATTTGAGAAGAATGTATTATGTATTGCAAAAAGTAATGGTAATTTTTATATAAATGTATTTGTTAAGTAAGTAGAAAACTATTTAAAATTTTCTTTTAGGTATGTACTGATATTTCATGCAGGTTATCAAATCAAACAAAACTGTATCAACATTTTCAATGTGTGATTGGAGCTAAGACTTGATTTTGACCTAAGACTCTTTTAATCACCATGTTATAAGTTATTGCTTATGACGTGTTATAAATCTGGACTCGATTACGCCATTGCAAAGATATTGACATCGGCGTCGAGGGTCATGGGTTCGATTCCCACACGGAACCGTATTTGTGTTACCCATAAATAATTTTCGCGGATCTGGGTGTTTGTTTCCCAAGGAGGGTTGACGTCAGGCAGTCGGCCGGTCATTAAAACCATAGCTAAAACCGCTTACAACAGAGCTTTGCAAGAGCGGAAAGATGATAGATAATAATTGAACTATTAATTCTTCTCCGTTCCTAACTGTTTAATTCTTCTCCGGCCTCTTTTGTTTTCTCGGAGTTTCCAAATATCAAATAATACTACTTGCTAAAAAACAGGATATCTTCGAAAACCTGTTTATAAATATCGAAAAGCTAAGCCCAGTAGCGTGCTGAAGCGGCGTTACCGTAAACCCTCGGACGGAGAAATGGAGTCGCGCACACCGCAGCCTATTTACGACTTAATGATAAGCATGGAATAATTTCCGGTCGGCGGCCTATCTCGGTATTAATTTGATCCGAAACTGTTAATTAACACGGAACGGAAGCGTCGGTATCGAGCTGAAGGTCCACTGAAACCCAGTGCCGGATTAACCATATATTAAGGGTAGGTGGGTAGTAGCCCACTTTATTTATAGATGGCAACGCATTTGCAATCCTACGGGTGGCAGTTATCACTTAACATCAGGTGAACCGCCAGCTCGTTTGCCACTTTCTCCAAAGTGGACCCCGCATATTTAAACGCACTCATGTCTGCCTGAGCCTGAACAAGTAAGAGTGTTCATTGGTTTTTTTTACCGATTTATACTTAAGAACCCATAGCAGATCAACAGCTGTTTGAAGGAATTTGCTACTAGCCCCGCGCTAGCTTAATCCGGCTCTGCTGAAACCATAGAAGCTCTATGCCGGCCTACAGTGCAGTACAATCACGAAACCTGAGTTCAAATCTCGCGGCCTTTGCGTACGAAATTGCGGACTGAATCTTTAGTACTAAGTCACCAACTGATTGGACAAACATCCAAATCCGGAATCTATAATCATATGATAGTTCAATATGCAAATGCAGATTTGTATAAGGGTGTTTGAATCTGAAGTATTTATGAAATTTAACATTACACGACATTTTAACATTAACAGAGTAAAAGCATGCAGAAGAGCGTAACCTTACCTATTAATGTATTTGGTACTCTCTACTTTGAAAAACGTGTTGTAGTTCAAATTGTTTTTCCTACCGATGAGTTGTCTTTGCTTAAAGACAAATCATTTATTTGCGCAGTTGGTGGTTATTTTACGGTATGCCACGTGATTTCGATTAAACTCAGATGACCCAACGTGGCTTTGCAAAGTAATAAGTGGAGGAAATTCGTGAGAGGTGTCAAGTTTTATCAATAGTATGTGTTTCAGGTACTTTCTTCAATGATTGAAATTGGGTTGAAAGCAGAAATCCAGTAAGAAACGCTATACAATTCAACGGTGAATAAAGAATATAATTGGGAACTATAAACCATATCGTCAGATTCATCTAAGCCTCGTATTTTATTAAGACTTTAGTACGTTTTCTCCGCGTACCTAGCAAAAGATTTTTAGAAGGCAATGCAGCGTCAAACATTACTAGATAGGGCAAACGTGCTTAAGAAAAACAAGTTTTAAAAGAACTTTAGTTTTAACTAAGCAGCTATTGAATTTAATACTTGTTGTCGGTATCATATATTTAAATTATAACGCCACATAATAAAAAGAGAT